GCGAAAAGCCTGTTGCCATATGAACAAATAGGTTTTAGCTAGTTTTTCCATGCTTTACCTTGTGTAGGTTTTAACACTACTTGCATGGTTAAAGAAGATATTTCGCAAAAATGAAAAGCTATCCAATCGTGAAGTGGAAGATCACTTACTCGAAGTCAAGAAACAAAGATTCAAGATCAAGCACAAAGCTCGTGCAGTAGTATCATATGGAGTGCACATGTGCATCCGGTTATCACTTCATCAGTTGCAGAAAGAATACGGGAACTTTGGTGTTAAGTTCAGATATCAAGAAAACTCAAGCTTCCTTTTCAGAATTATACATGTAAGGTGCCTGTGAAAATATTCTTGTTCGTACGTAATGCTACCGGCATGCGCATGGTTTTGTGGGCGTGGTCAGCAGAACAACACCCCGTCCAACATTTGAAAAATAATTATGAAACTTTTTTTTTTATTTTTCTTCCTAATTTACTTCAATGTGTATGTGGTTATCTTATAAGGACTTTGGTTTTTAAGGATTACCACATCAATGCCTTCGCGTTCTCCTCGTAATGGGCGTTCGAAATCTCCTGCACGAAGGAAGCGGTCTAGATCACCTGCACGAAGGAAGCGTTCGACGTCTTCTCCACGTAAAAACTCAGAATCACCTCGTATTAGGCGTTCAAAATCTCCTGCGCGAAGGAAACGATCTGAATCTCCTGCGCGAAGGAAACGATCTGAATCTCCTCCACGAAGGAAGCGTTCTGATTCTCCTGCACGAAGAAAACGTTCTGGATCTCCTGTAAGAAGGAAGCGTTCTGAATCTCCAAAAAGAAGGAAACATTTTGAATCTCCAGCAAGAAGGAAGCGTTCTGATTCTCCAGCAAAAAATAAGCGTTCTGGATCTCCTGTACGAAGAAGGCGCTCGACGTCTTCTCCCCGTAAACGCTCCAGATCACCTCGAAGACAGCGCTCCAGATCCCCTCGAAGACAACGTTCCAGATCCCCTCGAAGACAACGCTCCAGATCACCTCGAAGACAACGCTCGACGTCTTCTCCTCGTAAACGTTCAAGATCACCTCGAGGGCAACGCTCGAAGCGAGACAACTCTAACTCACCACCACGAAGAACTTTCCCTGATAAAAGAAAGTAATCTTTCATATTTCAATCAATTATGTTTGTTTTCTCGCTTAAGGCATACACATGGATCTCCGGAAGGAAGACGAGACAGAGAACCTCGTAAGTCAAAATGGTCTAATGAAGATGGAAGCCCTCGTGTCAAACGAGAAGTCGAATCCCCTCCACATGACGGAACAGATTCCCGTGGTGATGGGTATGGGTTAGAGAAACGTAAGTTTTCTGAGTAATATCTTTCTCATTGATGTTTCCAGGGAATCGTTTTGGCGATGGAATGAAAGGATCTCTCAAGGATGAGTAAGTTGAGTACTTCAAGCTTTTCTAAATTTTTCTTTCAGTAAGGAGAAATGGG